GAAAGATAATATATTTAGATGCATTATTGATCAAAGAAATCAATAATATCTCATACATCACTTTATATGCTCTGGCTCGAATTAAAGTCCTAGAGGGTAATTAATTAATATTATATTTGATGGCAAGCTTAACGCGTGATGATATTCGATTCTAATATAAAAATCTCCTAACAAAAATGAAGCAATTAGTAATGATGATACCATTAAAGAGGCATATACTCTTAATGAGTATCTAAACATAACAAATTATAAAATTTAGAGAGGTTTGGATATCTGATATATTGAAAATTGAGATATCACAATAAGTTATGTCATTATAGAAAGAATAGAGTCGAAAAAGAAAAAGTTGTCGACAACACTTTTATACGTTATGTACTGCATCATATTATGAATAACGAAAAATCGAAATAAGTTTTTCGAAACACATCGATCGAAGTAATGATCGATCAAATAAAATGACATATCGTACTAAAATTGAATTTACTACAAATATATGAAGTTTGTAGACTTGATCCTAGTAAAACTAAACTCATAAAGAAACTTGAATTTTAGAATCTAAAGTCTGAAAGCCTAAAGGTGTATACTTATGCAAATAATAATAATAATAATAATAATAATAATAATAATAATAATAAAATGAAGTAAAGTCGTACCATGAAATATATGACTCTTTATATATTGAATTTCGCGAAGACTAGTATAAATAGATAAATTATCATGTGATAAATGTAATTGCAAGTCTCTATCTTGTTAGAGAGTTTTCAAGATACTCTCTATTTTTAAAGAACATATTCTATCATTTGGAGAGCGTCCATAAATTTATAGAATTTAAATTTTGAAGCACTCCAATAATTTTTTTTATTTAACACTTAATTTTAATACTCCTAATATTAATTACTTTTCTCTATCTTTCATTTTAATTAGCTTTTCTCTAAATTATTTTGTTATTTTCCTACATTAAAAATTGAAAACACTTTGACTGTATTTAATTATACAGAGTTAGTTTGGCTCTCCGAATGTACTCCCTAAATTAAAATGTTAATTTAAAGAATCTTTTGAAACATGATTTCAAGATTTGACTCTTTAAAATAGAGAGCATCTATCGTTGAACAATTTAATGTCTAAAGTATAATTCAAGTAAATTTATTACGAGGAATAAATAAACATTTTACTTTTTTTCTTTAACCAAGGTTTTATCCCATTGAGTTTTACTGTTAAGGTTTTTTGTAAGAAAACTTTTGTAGCGTATTTAAAAGAATTAATGAACTATTTCCTTCATTAGGTTTTTTCCTAACAAAGTGTTTTAACGAGGCATATTCTTTGTATAATGAATGTTCATAACCTACTAGACATTTCTCCTCAAAAATAATACTTTAATATGTACAAGACTTTCAAAGAGATCAATAAGAGCCATTTTTTAAAGGGTTAATTTCAAAAATTGTCGCTGAACTTACAAAAAAATTATAAAACAGTCACTGAAATTTAAAACTCTCAATAACGGTCATTGAACTTCCGGACGGTTACACTAATGGTCACTTAAGTTTAAAAACTTTCACAAATGGTCACCGAAGTTACCAAAATTATTCTACTTCAAACTTAAGGACACGTGACCAAAGATTGAGGACCTCGGGTGCAAATTTTTGACCAAAAAACCCCCAAACCCAACGGCGTTTGATTCCAAAATTTGGTATATCAAAGCTATAATTTCTGCAATTGAGCGGTTACCCAGTGTCTTTTGAACCTGAATGTTAGTCCCCCCAAGTTGATTTGTATATTGGGTCAAATTGGAGCCTCCAATTGATGGATGAAATTCATTCTCTCGCGAGCAGACTTGGTGCGGATGATCCAGAAATAGGCTCAATTTGATGATTAATTGATGCAATTGATTCATGACCCAACGTACTACCAACCTGAATTGAAGATATTAAAGGCGAATTTGATGATTGGGACGGTAAAAAAACCTCAGTTGAAGGTAGACAAACCAGGCAGCCTTACGTATGAACTGCACAACTTGTTCATCCACTTTGTGCCCAAATTGGTGATGACCCATGGCTGGAATAAGTGCGTCATGAAGAAAAAATGCTAGGACAGGTGGTCCGCGATCATGGGTACCACCACCGGTGCCGAAAAATGAGTTTGTTGGCCGCGAGTTCACTGATTCGAAAAAATGCTCTATATTTCGATTTTCTTAGTTGTTTGTTATTATATGAACATGGTTAGAAGCATCTACATGAGTTTGAGCGATTTGTGGAATGTGATTAACATGGACATCAATGCAGTTGGACGAATTTGGAAAAGAGTCGGGGCAGTTTTAGATGATTGGGAAATTCATTTTCGTTGAAAATTTGCACCTGAGGTCCTCAACATTCTTTGGTCATGTGTTTTGGTCCTTAAGTTTGAAGTAGAATCATTTTGGTAACTTCAGTGACCATTTGTGAAAGTTTTTAAACTTAAGTAACCATTAGTGTAACCGCCCAAAAGTTTAGCGACCGTTGCTGAAAGTTTTAAACTTCAATGACCGTTACTACAATTATTAAAGTTTGATAAATATTTTGTATGAAGACAATGTTATTTAAGTAACCATTAGTGTAACCGCCCAAAAGTTTAGCGACCGTTGCTGAAAGTTTTAAACTTCAATGACCATTACTACAATTATTAAAGTTTGATAAATATTTTGTATGAAGACAATGTTATTTAAAGACATTAACGTACAAAATATCAATATTGAAGACACTGACATAGAAGACATAGACCACTTGATACAAGTATTGAAATTAGGTGAAATATCTTTAATCTTTAATCTTTTTTCTTTTCTTTTTTTTTTTTCAAGTTGTCCAACTGGATTTTTTTGACAAGATTTCAATGAGGTAATATTTTATTACTTCGAATTATTTGTACTCTTTTTTCATTTATTGATATTTTTGTCCCATCCAAATTTTCCCAAAACAATGTTTCAATAATATAATCATTGTATAAATAGTCAGTCAAAGAGGAGTGTTGTAAATATAATGGTATTTACAAATGACTTTTATACCCCTGCAATCTTAGTTATTATAAATGTTTTATCCCTTGTAGCTACAATTCTTCCCTATACATATGAGATTTTGTTCTTAATAAAACAAACAAATTTATTGACTTTTCTAATTTCTTCTATTTCTCTCTCTTTTCATAACAGTTTTTAGTTAGTTATTAGGAATTCTAAGTCCATCTATAATTAAAAAATAAAAATTACTAACTAAAAAACAGGACAGTTTGGGTTGGATCGATTTTGGACCCAACCCGAACCTAAACTAACATGTTTGGTTTGATAAAAAATTAAACCAAGCCAACCTATCCAAGATTGAACAACCCAAACCCAACCAATCAAGCTTTAATAGATTTTGTTTGGATTGATTGATCGATTTTTGACGTTCAAAGATTTAAAAACATCCACATGAATTCTCCTCCTCTTCCTCCACCATCACACCCTCATCGTTGCCTTGGAAAATCAAATACCCAATTTCCACATGACCACCATTATAAATACCATGATACTCGAAGGCATAATTGCCAACATCAACAAGAACCCAATTGTAACCCCAAGGGATAGCTCTGTGATCAGACCTTAGTTTTGCTCCTCAATTATCATCAGTTCAAGTCCCCTCAAAGTCACTGAGGTGAGTACCCAACTGTAAATTTCATGGTCCTGTGAGATTAGTCGAGGTGCGTATAAACTAGCTCGAACACCCACGGTCATTAAAAAAAAAAAAAAAAAAAAAAAAAAAAAAGAAGGAACCCAATCATAAAGTTGACTTCAAATAAAATTGCCTCAGAATATTTCTGTACAGCCTATTTGCAGCATATGTTGTGAACTCTGAAGAAAAATAAAGGAACATGGTGTGCCATCGTCCCATTGGACGACACCGATGATTTTTGGATTTGACAGAAAGGAGCTGGAAGCGAAGGCATACTCCTTCATGCATCAATAGAAAACAAATGCAAGGAAAAAGTGATTGGTTGGTAGGAGGAGGTGTCAAGAGACGAGGAGAGAAATGACTGAAATTGTAAATCGATTTTAGGGATTCAATAAAATTAGTAAATGAATTTTTTGGTAACCAGCAACCATAACCAAACCCATACTAAATTTTACGATCAAATCCGAAACCATCTTTTATTACAAAAACCAATCCAAAATCAGTCCAGTTCAGTTGGGTCGGGTCCATCAATTTGAATGACTTTGATTGATTTTTTCTCAACCCTATAAAATGTATTTATAAATACTTATTCAAACGTAAAAAAATGCAAAAAATGACCTAGAATAACAAGTTGAAAATAAGTAACTTCCATTTCATCAAGCATAAATTTAAGTCACTTTTTTCAATAACTAAATTTACTTTTCCATGAAAAAATAAAAATTACTTTACCAGGCACTTATTCATGTTTCTAAGCATTATAGATTTTTCTAGTTATTAACAATGCCCCCTTTTTGGGAAGGATGAAGCGTATATACTTAAAAAAATAAGAGAAAAAAGGAAAAAATTTGGCATAACAAGATGACCATCTACCATTGACATGGGATAAGAAAATATCTAATATATGGCCATAGACGTGTACACAAAGCGCTACCTAAATGCAAAATCAAAATCAATATTTTTTCATGAGTCCATCATGAAAAATTAGATGCACCTAAAAATGCGCCAAATATGCATACCTCAATATGGCTAAAAAGACGTATTGCATAACCTTAATATTACTCATTTGAACATCATCATCAAAGTTTAAAAAGTTACACTGGAAGACACTTCGCCCTTGTTTGATTTTGATATTTCACTTTTCTCAAACTCATTTTCAATCACATATTCTCCAATTTTGCACTTGGACCCACATTCTCCCAAAAAAAATCACTTCTTAAGAAATAAAAATCAAACAAGAGCAAAAATGAGAGGGAGGGAGGGGGATACCTTGTTCACCATCAAGCAACTGGTGCATTTTGCATCCCAGAGGTTGCAGGTCACTAAAAATCAGTTAAATGTGGGAAGTTAAATAGCTTAAGCAGAAACTAATACAATGATTCGAAACGTGATAGATTGCAAACTATACTCACGAGGATACAATATTAGAGTCACGTAAAAATTAGGTATCTATGATGAGTGGCTTGAATATTTAATACATAATCATGAACATGGTGTTTTCAAAAGGGCATCATATATTTAGCTGAAGCTGTTTCTTAGGTGTAGTCGGCAGTCAGCCTTTTTTTCTCTGTTTCAACAACGCTTTCTTGATGGTTAAGTACTGTCTGAGGCACTACATGGGGGCTATTTATAGATCCATGAACCTGTTCAAGACACTTCAATACATGATATATAGGCTAACTAAGTTCCGTAAAAAAATTGAAAGTGCTGATCATATGGCTTTGGGATCAACTTGCATGCTTTGAAAACCTTACCGTGCTAGGTGACTTGAATGCCCATGAATCATGGGCAGGTTTCACGGACAAGTCTGAGGGCCTGTGGAACAGCAAGTGCGCAACTGAGCGATCTACAGGATTTGTATTGGTTTCCATATCCAAAAATCCAGCACACCTAAGAGAGAAGCCAACAGATGAGGTCAAAAGAAGTCAAGGAATCAATGATAGAAAGCAAAGGGCGTCGTAGTGGTTGTTCAACCATCTTATCAATAACTGATATAGAGAAATCACATCTATTTATTTAAATTTAATGTCCACTTATGTGTAAGTTGGACTCAGTTTTACATAACAAGGCACAGTAAGTGCACAATTTTTGTAAACTGGTGGCACTAACACTTGGCCACTAAACGATCGAACCATCTAATATAAAAGCTTAAACTGTTTGAGAAACAACCCGTTTTTTATTTACATTAGTCTACAACAGTGGTTCATGAAGCAGAAACAATGATTTCCACATCTAGCTCAGTTGAAACTCACTCACGGTGTAACATTACCAAGGAGTTAGAACAGTACATCTTAAACAACGGTAACAAAAACAAATTCAAATAACAATGAAATCAATGAAATGACATACTTGTTTGTTCCTTCAGCCATCAGTGCTCCATTGGCATCTCTGTCATCTTCACAACCGTTACTGGGGTTTGCATGGTTATGTCTTTGTTCGGCACTCCGAGCCAAACGGTACAGACTATCCCTTATGCATAGCTTTGTCCTCAAGTCCAACTAAACCAAAGACGGTAATCGCAATCATTTTCAAAGTAGTCATATGTGTAAGAGGACATGAACACTGCAAAATCGCTGCTTTCAGAGTATGTAAGAACACAAAACTTATGAAACTCTAAAAACTATCTCAATGGATTTTCCTTGTCATTTTAATCAACCTGACCTGTGACTGTTCATACGATTAAACTTTTATTTGAATTTAATTAGCATGTCACTTGATGTATTTAGGCAATGGGGCAGTTAAGTGCACTAGGAGAGAGCCGTGATCTTCTCTGCACAAGATAAAATTGCTCTCATCTGCTCACAAGATAAAATTGCTCTCATCTGCTGAGCAAGTATTTTGAGTTCTCTTTGTATTCAGGCTAGTAAAACTGCTCAAACTAACTTCAATAGAACTTGCAGCCATTCCTCTTGTTTTCATGAGTTTGAGTTTATTTATTTACGATCGGAGAATCCAAACTCCCAAGAGCTTGAAAACCTACTAAGGCTGTGTTGGTATTTTTCTTAAAGAAAAGAAAAATTATGACTACACATGCACATTCAATAGTTCTTAAAGGATCTCCATTGCCTCGAAAATACATACAAATAAGAAGCTGCTCACATATGGTCGAGCATTCAAATTTTCTAAAGGGGAGTGTTAAAGGGATATAGTCCCACATTCAATAAAAATGAAAACATAGATCAATTTATAAGAATTTGGGCTACTTCTCTTAATAAGGTTGACATTTTTAAGATGAAACCCCAAATTTTAACTTGGTATCAGAACCCATTAAATTCTAACGAGCAATTCGATCCAATTAAAAATGAGCACATGAATTTCAAGATTGATAAGTTCAAACGAGCCATCATCTTGATGGGACATGTCAAAAGGGATTTCACTAGTAAGCATGAGATATATCCGTAACGATTTCTAAAGATATCATCATTTTTCTTCCTGGATTGTTAGGGCTTTTAGGGATTTGAGTTGCAGATTGTCAATGAAATCAAACAGTGAAAACTGAGAAGGATTTGTGTATGATGACGTCGATGATGAGCCATGACTCACTCTTGAATTTCAAGATTGGTTTGTTCAAACTAGCCACCATCTTGCTGGTACAAGTTAAGAAATATGATCTCACATCAAATAAAGATATAAAAATAGACCAATTTATAAATGTTTGAGCTACTCCTCTTAATAAGGTTGACATTTCTAAGATGGAACTCCAAGTCTTGACAGTGAGTACATAACCATGCCTTCTAAGAGTTCATACCATTTACTGATGACCTGAAGGGAAAAAATTATGGGTTGAATCTCTTTACAACCATCACAAGACTCACGTATACCTCATACTCTTTCGTCGTCATAAAATGGAACAAAATGAATTACGATTCTCAGCATCAAGTTATGTCATTAGATATATCAGTAAAGAACGAAGATTATACATAAAATCTTGGAAAGAGCGTTATACCTGTTCCATGACAAGCTGAAGATGCCGAATACTAGTTGCTTCTTGTGGAATATCATCCAACCCTGAACTCATGGATGATCCCTCCTGCACATTTGAGGAACCAAATTCTCCTGGTTTAACCATGTTGACTTCAACAACACTGCGATTTTCAAATTTATCCATGGAAGAACGTGCTTGAGACTCTACTGAAACAGAAGAAGGATCATGAGGATTCTCCACCGATTGAACTAGACTGGATGCAGAGAAGAACTTCCTCTTAGAAAGAGGTGTTAAATAATTATTCTCAGATTTTATAGCCGATACAGTTGGATGTACTGAAGTTTGATCTGATAGATGACTATTATCAGAATGCACAAAAGAAACAGTATTCCGTAGGTGACCAGAGGAATCTGGATCCAGATATTTTTGTTGCTTTCGAATACCCGCAGATGTGAAACTTCGATTAGATGTGACCCCAGAATCAAGCTGCATGACTTCATTTGGCGGGTTACTATTATAATTAAAAGAACTGACATTTCCACCGTGATGTTCTTTTCTTTTTCCACCAGACTGGTTTTGGTGTTTTGACTGCTTTTTCTGCTCATGGACCTGCCAAGTTATCAAATCCATTATTAATGTTTCACAAATATTTATAGTGCTACACCATCTTGAACTTTGACGTGCATATTTAGACTGCATAGAGGTTTAATACACTTAACTCCAACTATTATCCCGTTGTGCTTAATTATGGGAAAAAAACTGTCCCCAAAATTAACAAAATTTTAACCAACAGCTAACTTATGACCAGGACTCAGAAATAAGCATGTGAAACGCTGAAGGATATTGAATCCCTTCAGAGGTAATAATCCATTGCCAGTTTTGGAGAGGTTCTTAGTTGGAATCTTGTGGTGACCTTTACCAGTGAGTCCCACCCACAGCAAAACAATCACCTCACATTGCTGACTTTTGATTCCAAATTAATTAAGAGTTTCTAAGTTAGATTTCTTTAAAAAGATAAAAGCGTTATTTCAATTAACAGTAGCATGCACTAACCTGTCCTTTAGGCATAAATTTATCTTTGCTATCCGAGCTAGAAGGTCCGTTCACAAAAGCCAGATGCTTAACACATTCATGAATATCTGAAGACCAAGAACCACCTTTGTGTCTAACCGCTCCACTTTTAAATGCAGAATCGTTCACAGAATAGCTAGCATTTTGCATAAAGAAGTTATGTTTCTCTGATGTATTTTCCAATGCATTTGACTGGGAACATGAAAACTTAAAATCTGATTTTGGCACATCGTCAGACCCTCCTATAGCATCTTGTGATGAAAACCAACCCAATTCATCTTCTTTACCGGCACCAAGTTCAAATGTCGAATCACACCTAAATATCCTGTCAACATCCTCAAAATTTCCAATTTCAGGCCAATCGCAATACAAGAAATCACTGGAATCTTTGTCCTCAGGATTCTTGTCAAAGAAATTGAGATCATGGTCTGTTTGAGAAATGTCACCAAGTGTATAACTGTAAGAGTTGCCATCAACCACAGTGCTTTTGTCATTAAGAATGAGATCATCTACACCAAACTCACTACCACTGGTGTCTGTATTATTGCTTTTGAAGCCATGACCTGATATTTTGGCATTTTCAGATGCTACTTCTTTGACCAAGTCACTATCAGAGGAAGAAAGGAAGACAGCATTGGGTGTGATAGACAATGAGTCTTTTTCCAACATTGTGTTCCTTCGGTTACTTAAATTTGAAAAGTCTCCATGATCTTTATCCTGACCAATATTTGTAGTGGCGGATCTATCTCCAGAATTATTTGAAATACCAGTTACTTCCAGGCGAGGTCTCTTAAGCCTACTATCTTGAAAAGGATTTTCATCAGCCTGTTCGTCCCCAGGATGGGGCACTATATGATCATCACTCTGGCAAAAATCATCCCAAACTATATCCTCAAGCTGTAGCAACAGTTACAGAAATTTAGTGGTCATAACTGCAGTGAATAATTCCATAAGATGACTAAACAAAACTATAAGACTGTAAATACAACAACTAGTGAATAGCCAGAATTTATAAATGAAGGCAGCACAAGCTTATTGGAAAGCATACGGAGGGTCAACCATCGACTCAACAAAGGAGCCCAAACAGGAGCTTAGTAAATCAGTACATTCAACTTTAGGCTTACTTATTATCCTAGTTGCATATGTGGATGACATAATCCTAACCGAAAACAATGAAGCAGGATCAGGAACTCGAGAAGACTAAAACTAAGGATTTAGAGATAAATGATCTTCGCTTGATAGAATATTTTCTTAGAATGGTTGATTGATTCAACTTAAACATCAACCTATCATTTCATTGTCCATTAGTTACCAATGGTTGAACTAAGAAATGTGATGCACTTTCGGCCTTCAGAATGCTATTCGAGCAAATAGAACTCTCAATGCATTTTGAGCCTTCAGATTTTGTAGTTCGTCTTCGTATAAAAGTTAATATTGTTTCCTAAATACGAGTTATAGGACTAGATTCAACAAATGTCTGCATAATTGTATCCACAACAATAAAAGACATGCAAAAAGGTTCATGACTTGTACTACTTCAAATATTTATATATTTTGTAACTTTTCATATTTTTACTTCTACCAAACCCAAGATTTTCTATGATTGATGAGTGGGTGACAGTAAGTTTTCTGTCATGTTAAGATCATATTAAAATCATTCAAGCCACAATCAAATGATAAGAATTCAAAGTTATTACTATTTGCCATATACATAAGCCTCACGAATAGAGGATGAAATATTAACTACTAGAATAACTTTAATGTCATGAGTTTTCATTATTGCCTTGGCTGAATTTATTTTACTCTTGCGCCCGTGTAAGGGTCAAACTAAGTTCAATCCCTCCAGCCTAGGTACCATCATTGCTCAGAAGTTGACGAGAAGGAAAATATTGGAAATCTTTGGATATCAAAACATTTATTAATCTAGCTTGCTACCCAGATGGTAACACAGAAGGCTCTCTTAATCTCTGTCTGTGTCTCATGGTTGATTCAATTATGGTCATTGTTTTCACGCATCCTACAGGCTTCATACCTCATCTAATGCACAACAATAAGTCAAATTTATAATTTAACAGATTTAGAGGCTATTGTCATATATAACACTAGTTTTGACATACATTTGATGCAATTCCCAATGGATACGAATTCCACAATCTATTACATTCTATGTCCAGCTTTTTTACCCTTCCTAGAAAACCAACACAAGAAAAGGTCTTCTATTAATAAGCTACTAAGAGAACCAAACATTTTAGTTGTATCATGTGCATACTTCGATGTGTTCAATGTATCTAGTTTCCCCTCTAAATTGTCTATACAGTAACATCATTAGACCCACCAATAAAAAAAAATCATTAAAAGATATGGAATAAAAAAACTAAACTAACAGCTATGTCCTTTCTCCAATACCTTAAGCTTCAAGCTTTATGATTTAATATGATATCAGAGTATGCAACCTCATATCTAGTTTCGTCATCACTCATTTATAAAAATTGTGCAAGAATCAAATCATTGATGGAAAAATGTGTAGACCTGTATGAGAATACGTGTTGAAAATAAAATCTAAACAAATAAATGTTTGTTTCCTAACTAGATTAAGCTTTTGGACTAAGTAAACTAAAAAACAATCTAATACATGTAATCAAACAGAACAAGCTAATAAGTGTATCAAAAAATGATTCAAGATTTTTATTAACAGGATAAGAAATTTTCAAGGCAGAAACAAAATCGGATCGTAGTTGTTCTATCAGTCCACAGACAAACCCTACCTCAAACATGTGCAAGTCAGACATTCCTCCAAATCTTTCAGCCTGCACTCGAACTGTATGCAACTTCCTTCATATTTAAAATCCAAATCCTCCCTTCACCTCCGTTTTCCAAATTCACAGAACAAATAATCAAACCACAACGCATTAGAAGCCAAACAAAATAATCCTCTTCACTGTTTCATTAATTTACATGCAACTTTAAACCTTCTCAAAAAGTGAAAAATAAAAAAATAGCCTGAAAAGTCAGGCTACTGAGAAGAACAGAGGAACTTCATGAAAAACAATATGAAATTCAGTAACTAAACAAAATAATAACTGGGTTCACTTAATCCAAAAGGACAAATCGAGTTTGAGAAATTAGCCTTAAATTTAAGCAGTTCGACAAATTTATACTAAATGAAAGAAAACTAATGTTTGCCCGCAACGAAAGAAGAAATAATAAGATTCCAACTTAAATCTTACTTTAACTTGGGGAAAAATTGATTTAACGCCGTGCTAAAAAATTAACAAACATAATCTTCAAAATTCAATCTTTTTTCTTTTTTTCTCAGCAATCAGACAAAGCCTTAATCTGAAACAATTATCCAAATTCAAACAAAGAAATCAATTCAAAAGGAGAAAAAAAAATGCAATAAACATACTTAACCAAAGATCTCACTGGACAATCAAGGAGACCACCGTAATGTTGAGAAATTCAACAAAACCCCTAAATTTGATGCCTTTTTACAGAGTTACAGCTTGCAAATCTCGAATGTTCTTGTGGGAAAAAGAGGCTTTTGATTTGAGCTTTGTGAGAAACAAAACTATGAAAATAGTATTTTAATAATTTATTAGTTAATAAATAAATTGAGTCACGGAGGTATTGCCACGTGGTAAGAGATCTAAATTAGAGGTGGGAGAGCGACTTGCGAGTTCTGAATTAGTGGACGAGAGGACGCCTAGATTCGATCTCTTTCTGTAATCTGATTGGTACACGTAGGCTTTTAGGTTTTTTAAGTGGTTGAATTGGAGTAGTAGTACGGGAGGATTCGGAATACCGTGTGTGCGGGTCGGGTAATTCATGTGTGTGATATTGGGTTGCGGACAGTTGGTATCTGTAGGGGAGTGGGAAGTTCTTCGAAAAAAGAATAAAATTTATTATAGTTAATTAAGATGAAATAATGGATAATTAGCAAAAAATATCACTATTTTTCGATATTATTGTTTAAAACGTTCGTACTTTTTATTTTTTGGTATTTTCACCTTTATTTTCCATTTCATTGCTAAAAATATTATTTTTTTATCCAATTTCTCAATAAAATAATATAAAATGATAAATGTACTCTCATACTTAAATAAAACTAAAAAAATAACAATTCGAGAATAAATTGCAATTATATTCCAAATTTTTAAAAAAAATTGCAAATGAATCCAAATAAACTCTACCTTTCAATAATTATGTAAAAAGTCCACATCTTTAATTTTTTTAACATTTTCATCCTTATTTTCACATTTTATTGCGAAAACTATTATTTTCATCCATTTTTTTTTCAAAAACTATAAAATAACAAATATACCATCATATTTAAATAAAAGAAAAATAAAGAAAAGAAAAATAAAGAATGAATTGCAACTATCTCTCAGAATTCTCAAAAAAATACAAATAAATTTCAAATAAAAAATTTAAAATAAAAAATTTTTAAAAAATCACTTTCTTTCTTTAATTGTTTATTTGAAATTTATTTATACTTTTTTTTATATAATTAGTGAGTATACTTGCAATTTGTTCTTTATTTTTTTTATTTAAATAGGATGCTATATTTGTATTTTACAGCTTTTGATTGAAAAAATAAATGAAAATAATGATTTTTGCAATTTAATATGAAAATGCCAAAAATATAAAAGATGGAAGACGCTTTGCGCAATAATATTAAAATGTAAGGACATTTTATACTAATTATTATTTTGATAATTTATTTGGACTCATTTGCAGCTTTTAAAAGTTTGGAAGCATAATTACAATTTGTTCTTTATTTTTTTTTCCTTTTTTCGGTTTTATTTAAATAGGAGGATATGTTTGTCATTTTATATTTTTTTATTGAGAAATTGGATGAAAATGACCTTTTCACAATGAAAGATGAAAAATATGGATGAAAATACCCAAAAATGAAAAGTAATGACGTTTTGCGCAATAACATTAAAAAATAAGGACCTTTTGTGCTAATTTCTCTAAAATAATTCAAATGTTCTGATTTTTGTATTCAAATAATTCAATGAAAACAATATAATCTGGATCAATCCAAATTGAATCGATCAACTTGAATTTCCAAATAGAGGATGGGCATTTGGATCGCAACATTAATAAATTGATTGATTCAAATTGAGTCGATCGACATTAAATTTCCAATTGTTCTATTAGGGTGTGAACATTTGGATCGTGAAATTAAATAATCCAATCAATTCATGTCAAAACGATACGAACCGATCTGCTTAAATAGATTTTTCCAATTGATCGGTTAGAGATCTTTTTTTTTTTAAAGCTAGTGTCGAACTCTCGTGTGTTCAATGAAACCTAAACCAATCTAATCTTAATCGAAATCAAACCGAAAAATTTAATGCATATGTATTTAAATCAAATTGTTGATCTAAAAAACATACACGTCTTTATTGTCAAAAGATCTCCTATCATGTTGTTGTCCATTTGCATGTTACTTGCACATGCGAACAAATCGTTAGATACCAAGATCACTGTGCTAAGAAAAAAAGTCGACAATCGTTGACACTTTGACAACTAAGCCAACTGCAAGTACGAAATAATATATGAGAAATGGTTGTGGGAGAAACAAACTAGCAATAATTTCGCTAGAGTTTTATGAACGCGTACATTTTACATTACGTGTGCTTGGCTATTTATAATGGAAGGATTTTTGAAGAATTATGTTACGGTGTTACAACCCTAATTGCACGAGGCACATGTGATCGGTCTACAAATCCCTAAGTAAGTTACGGGAAGTTTCCCTTTCAAAGACACACTCCTTTTTTTATCATTTGCAATCACTACTCTTTCAATATTGTTGATTCGCACACAAATGCCAAAAAGAAACCAAGAATTATAGAAACTTTCACCATTTCATTATTTATTCATCAAAATAAAACCAAGCCAAACACACCGCCGTAGATACAATTTTTTTTTTTTTTTTGGAAGACATTATTTGATGTAAAACTCAGTTACATACTTAGTTCATTTGAATACTGAAAAAAATTTGTGCGACATAAATTTTCAAGCTTGTCTATAACAAGACCGTGTCGTTTCGAGCCCTTACCTCAGGGGTTCGAACCGATTCTTCCATTTTGACACCAACACTCATGCAAATTATTTATATGGTATGTGGTTCTCCTTTCCCTCACAACATTTGTGTGCGTGTCCTTTGCACGTATTCTTAGAGCATCTTTAATAAATGGTGTAAAATTAGATGTAAATTAATATCTTCAAAATCATTTTTATGTGTGTGTGTATATATACAATTTGCATTTCCTTTGCATCTATACATTGAAGAGGTTTTCGACCACTTTGAAAATCTAAATCACAATAGATGATTTCAGCTACTTCATTGTACATGGTAAGAACACATCTATTTTCGTGGCATGACATCCTGCTAAATATTTTTGTAACATTGTTTCTTGTCACGTATTAATATAAATGTATAAAAGATTGTTATTTTACACTAAACAAGATATATATTCGAAGGGAGTTTAGGGTTATGAGTTCAATCTTTTTGGTGTAATGGAGCAGTGAGTAGACAAATCCCCAATCAAATGTAGTATCGTAACATGTAATGATTTTAGATACCAATTACTAAAGTGTACACAAAATGTTGGGCACGATGGTAAGATGTTTTATCTAACATAATTTTACTTAATAATTGTGTGTACTTGTGTAAGATACAATGTTTGGATTGGATAATATATTTTGTAGATTTTGATAAAAAATAGTAAAATATATGATTAAAAAGTCGATAAAAGTTATGAATCCATGAAGTGAAATGTGTGGTTGTATATGAGGCTATCAAAACAAAGTTTGCCTTAGCCTTATTTTGTTTTTATGATCAGATCACACGAAACACTAACAGTTTCATGGCCCATGATTAGCCTCCATTTGTAAAGAACTCACTAAAAATATTGTAAAAAGACAGAAACAATTGATGGATAAGTTAAATTTGTGGATTGATTGAGATGTTTTGAAGTTCAATAATTTATAAATATGATTTATTAATTTTGCTAATGGATTCGTTCTTGAAACCAAAAATTAAAACCCAACAGAACATATGTTCTAATTTATATATATATATATATATATATATATAAGAATTCCCCAAAACCCCATGAATCAAACTCGTAGTCGTTTACAAATCAAAACAAGTTGAAAGAATACCTCTCATAGCATGGTTTCACCTCGATTCTTCAATATTCAAGCATATGTTTGGCAAGCTTAAAACTATCAAAAAAATAGAATCAATTCTTATTCACATATTTCGTGAAACTCACAAATACTAATCACTTATTCATTACTTTTTTCTGTTTTTTATAAACTAAATCATTTGCAAGCACATAGGCTAACTTTAATTCACGAATCTAACTTTCTAGATATTACAAAAGCATATCAATGACTTAAACATTTTGACAATCTAGATGTATAGACATTCTACTAGATCTAAAATGAGAACCAGAGAGCTCGACTTCGCTCACAAGGCAAGCTGGTTTATGCTCGTTTTGTAATGAGCCAAGCATGAATCGACTTGCTTGAAGAAAATGTATTTCGGCTCGCCCTACCAGCTCACACGTAGGTGGGAGCAAGCGGCTGTCACTTTTTTATTAAAATTTTATTATTATTATTATTATTTTCTTCCAAACTCTCGAATGAATTGATACGAGCCTATGAGTAGTGTCATAACCGTCTTTCATGGGGCACGAGACAAATTTCAGAATTTGGGCTCCTAATTCAAAGCAAACAATCCATTTTTTTCATTTATAAGACATTTACGGAACTAAAATTGTTATTTTGAAATCAAAATAAAGCAATAAATAAAATGAAATATTCAAAATATTTATATTATAATCAAATAACAATACTAAAATGTTCTAAACAATCACTTAAATGCAACTTGTCTTGCTATTTTTTAGGCAAAAATAATCAATTTTGTATGGTCGAGCTCTATTTCTTTTTCAATGGATAACATGGTCAATCCATTTAATCTTTGCTGTGACATAGCTAATCGGAGATAAATCTTGATCAATTTCAACTTGAAAAAACTTCTTTATGTGGATGCAACTATAACCAATATAGTGAGCAAAATTTTGTAAGCAATTAAAGCATTTAGAAAACAACCATTCATTTTCTTCAAGTAATTTAACACATTAATTACTCTTTTGTTTCTTTAGATAAATAGCACTTCAAGACCATCAACTCCGTACATAAGTCATTAGCAATAATGTCTGAATGTCCATTATATTTCAAATACTGCTAAAGATTCTCACAAACAGAGACGGATTGAAGGAGGAGCACTACTAGGTTGTAGCCCAGTAATGCCCAAGCCCATGTCCAGTAAAAGTTCCAAAAAAATGTTGAAATATTTTAATTTTAGTCCATTAGTTGACCAACCATTAACCAACCCACCACAATTTGTAAAATCATTTTCTTATTTTATACTTGGCCCAAAGATTTGTTTTAGTATCCAACAGTCCATTACGTTACACAACAAATATCCTCCTCATTCCTTCCACCATTCTTGTCACTCAATTGCAAAATTTGAAAAACAAAAATTCTCAAATCTTTGAATAACCCTAATGCATAATCTGTCTATTATTTTTCCTAGCTACCATCTCACCGGAGAGCCGTTCACCACAAACAAGGAAGTACCTATGAAGGAGAGTTTCAGTTCGGCCAGCAACTACTTACTCCGAACCACATTTTCAACTAGGAACTCGTTTTCTTCTGTTATTGGTTAGTAATTGCGTCCCCTTTTAATACTTATATCAAAATAACTTCTTCTTCTTTTTTCATTCATTGAGTTTTTTTAACTTTGGGGGTTAAATTATAAATTTATAACATATTCTGATGTTCTAATTTTTTACTGTGTAATGTGTTTGATGATTTTTTAACTATGTTATGTTTATGGTTTTATACATTATATTTATGATTTTTGATTGTTGCGAACTTTTAGTTTTTAATGAATTTTCTATTCAAATTTGTTTACAGGCATTTGATTAGTTTGTTTTTAAAGTGTAGAAACAAGTTTAACAATTCATCTAATTACTCGTTCACGCATCGGCAACAAACTATGTAAGCACTAAGTAAGTGTTTTGTACATTAAATTTCTAAAACTTCGCCCCCCGTAACTTAAGTTTCTGACTCTGTCCCTGCTCACAAAGATTTTAATAAACTATCAACATGCATTTTGTTTTATTTATCCACATTAAACAAATATTCAAATATCTCTTCATAATGTTTAAATTGTTCAAAGCGAGTTTAAAGTGAAGATCGAGTTTGATCAATTATAAAGAGAAAATAATCAACTTAAAAAATATACTTTAGTTGATTGTGTTAGCTGTTCACTGCCATTTTCATCGAACTACGTCTTCCTTCAAATGATGCATTTTCTCTCCAAATACAGCCTCAATTCCCATTTCACTTGATATTTGTTTAGCATCCTTAATAGCACTAGCAAATCTAGATTCTCTATATTTTTTGAGAAACAAAATATGTGCTTGTAAAAACTTGATGGCTTCATCAATATCCATATTTTCAACTTGAAAAAAATTACTCACAGTATTGATTGCTTGCAACAACTTATACCAAATGACCATGCTAAGCAAAAACTCAAAATTCTCAAGTTCATATATTGCTAAAAACTCAGCTTTACTCTTTGTTTTAGGATCTTCAATTATGTTTGCCAAGTCAAGTAAAGCGTCTCTTATTTGTACAGATTGTTCTTTTATAGACTTGATACTTTCCACGTGACTTTTCCAGCGTGTTTGTGACAATAGCTTAAGTGTCAAACCCTCAACCTTATCTTTAAAAATCTTCTATCGTTTGGGAGAAGAAGAGAAAAATGTGTAAATGCATTGTATTATTCCAAAGAAGGATATAGCTTTATAAAATAAAATAAAATAAAAATTGTCATATTACATAATGCTAGATTAATGTTATGACAACCACATGGAATATAAAAAGCTCTGGGATTTATTTCAAGTAACCTTTTTTTGCGCACCTTTATGTCTCTCGCTCATATTAGCTCCATTGTCATACCCTTGGCCTCTAATATTATCAATATTAAGCTGAATATCATAAAACACGTTTTTAAGCTTAGTGCAAAGTTCAAGTCCTGACGTATCATCCACCTCCAAAAAATTCAATCTAATATTCTTACACCATCGATGAGTTTATTGAATCATCCATGCATCGTATTACTAGAGACATTTGCTTCTCATGACTCGCATGTGGAGTACAATCAAGTATGACGGAAGAATATTTTGCATGTTTTACTTTTGTGACAATTGGACTTATCAACTTGCCTACCAACGTTTGTATCAATTCATTTTGAATCTTGAGACCAAGATAGTTATACTGAATTTCACATGCTTAAGCATGTCGAATGTGTTCTTTTATAAGATAAAACTCAGTAACAATTTCTATCATTTGCAAAAAAAAATGTCCATCGTGCCCAACATAAAGGTGCTCACAATCTCATCGAAATGTCAAAGTATTTTTAGTCAGTCTTTTCACAATAGCAATTATGCTCATAAACACTTGTTTTCAATGCTCTTTTTTGTTGATGGCCAATAATATGCTTTCATCAATTTTATGTTTTGTTTAAAATCTATTTTTTAGTTTCATCCAACTAGTCATGCAGCTTATATGATCCTTAGCTACTTCATAATTTGTAAAGCATCGATGCACATTATGTCAATCTTTGTACCCATCATTACCCAATTGACCAATATTTTTCATCGTGTTTTTGTCTTTAACAACTTACAGTAAAAACAAAATATCTTGTCTAAAGATATTGAATACACTAACCATCTTCTATCAGTTGTTTGCCCATTTGCAAGTAGACGCTTATATTGTGATGAATCAAAATGTCTACCTTGATTATCTTTGGGAAACAATATGTAATCAATCTTTTTTGGACCTATTTCAACCATAAAGTCCCTTATCTTTTGATCAATGCGAACGTCTTTCCAATTTCCATAATCCTTAAAATTCAAAGAAAAGCAATTCTCTTGATTTAAATCTTCATGTTGAACATTATCTTCATCATTCTGCTTCACATTTGCATAATCAATTATTTCCTCGTTCTCTTTCTGTTCATCCGCATTATCATTATCATTCTGATTCTATTATTCCTCAATTACTAAATTTTCCGTGCTCCTTTCTTCTCTTTTCTTTTCTTGTTATTAGAGTACTCATCCACATCTCTAGTCTAGCTACGAATTAATGCCTCTACTCTTTTTCTCTTCTTCTTTTTGGAGCTTCAGATGCATATTGAGGAGTATTACACCCTTGATCGTGAAATATTGAATATTTGTTGACCCCTGTGAATTGTGTGAAAGTAGGATACTTTAAATTCGAGGGTCAAAGAGTTTTAGAGAACGTTAGCATGGCATTTAACTCAAGTCACTCAACAGCTAACAATTACTCAACAGCTAACAATTGTTGAAATTTGACTGTAAAATTAGAACAAGATTACAACATCAATCCACCCCGTCCAAAATGAAGAGCAGAAACTGGAAATTGATAAGTGTGTTTTTGTACACTTATTTACATCACAAACATGACTTAAATACAAGTAAAATGATTGAATTGTTACTTAACTTTGTCAAATTCATGCAATGTAGGAAATTCTATGGAAATAGTAGAATTCAGGAGAAAAGAACCAAAAAAGGATCAAATTGGAGCAAAATGAAAATTCAGGGACCAAATTGCAATTATCTGAAAGTTGACCCGATGAACACATCAAGCAATTGATCAAGCCAAGCACCAATTGGAAGTTATAAGGAAACATTGGAGCAACGAGGAACAAGAGAGGAGGTCAAGGAGTGAAGAAATGAAACTTGAGGACCAAAATGACTCAAACAAGAAGTTAGCTCTACTATGCGGTCGCATAGTATAAAACATATGCGACCGCGAGTGAACCTCCAGGGATTAAAAATGGTGTTTTGCTTAAACCTATGCGGTAGCATAGGTATAATTTTTCCCGAATTTTGCAGTTTCCTTATATGATTGCAACTCCTTTGGTAACCTAATTTGGACGGGTTTAAATAGCAACAAGACATCCAGAAACCGCACGAACAACTTGGGAGGCAAAAACATTCATCTTGGAGTGGAATTGAAGGCAAGAACAAGAATTGATGCAAGATTTACAAGATTTCTTCAATCTTTGATAACCCGGTGATGTATTTTATTTATATTTTGTTAGATTTCGTTATTTTTATCATGATAGGCTAGATTTTTGCAACTAAGTGATCGATGAACCATGTAATTATTATTAAACTTGCTATTTCATGATTTTGAATTATTAGTTTGATGGGATATTTGAATGGATTATATTGGTTTATTTATTTCCACAATTAACGTGCACTTGATTTGTGTGAATTTGGTGGTTTAATTCTGAATTTGAGAAAATTTGATTTAAATTGGACATATATAATTCATCATAGAGTCCGATGGGGGATAGAAATATACCCCTATGCCCTATGTAAATCTTTAATTGCTCACAAAAAGATTATATGTGTTCTTGTATAATTGCATCCGTCATAGAGATATAGGCTGATGATTTATGAGAATAGGTTCAATACATCTCGAGAGAGAGTATTGAATAGATTTATGAGCATTGATTTATCAAATTCTTATTGAATTATCAAAATTGTGAAATTAGGGTTTAATTGGTAATTATTTGGGGATTCGTGATCCTAGTGCATTCGTTTTACATAGATTTTCATAAATTGACAATACATTTCATTTATTTTTCATAACATTTCGTAATTGAGTCATTAGTTAAGTGAATTTAAGTAATTAGGGTTTGATTTGAAATTAGGGTTTTTCAATTTGGGGATTTCCCCCAATTTATGGTTTGATTTGAAATTAGGGTTTTTCAATTTGGGGATTTCTCCCAAAATTAGGGTTTTTGATTCCAAAATTCATTTTAACTCAATCAGTTTCGATTAAGGCTAAAATAAGTAAAATTGAACTACTCTTTCTCTGTGGGACGATACTCGGACTTCTAAAATCCATTTTATTACTTGTCATGACCCGTGCACTTGCGGTAATTTAAATCGAAAGAAATACTTCGCGAACAAGTTTTTGGCGCCATTGCCGGGGATTGAGTTTAGTTTAATTTTATTTATTGAGGCACTAATTCGAACTTAATTTTTATTTAGCATAATTTTGTTTTTATTTTAGTTTATTTTTCTCTATTTGTATTTTAGTTAATTAAATTGTTTGAATCTAAGTGCTCGTACTGGTTTTAATTCTCAGATTTGCATGTCACGATTGCCTGGAGGAGAATTGATTATAGCTGATCCTGAAATTGAGCGCACCTTTCATCGACAACAAAGAAATCACCGTGAAGCACAAGTACAAATGGCCAACGAATTAAACAATCCCATGATTCATACTGACGAAGGAGAGGCAATGGACGAAGGGAATGAAATTCTGGGGGATTTCTTGACTCCTCAAGTGATTCAAAGCCAGTCCAGCATAGTGTATCCACCGTTTGGGCAACGTAATTTTCAGTTGAAGACCAATGTGATACAGCTGTTTCAAAATGGACACCAATTTTATGGCAAGGCTGAGGAGAACCCACACACACACGTATCTCGATTTCTGGATATGTGTCAACATTTCAGATACCAAGGGATTTCGGATGACGCTATTAGGTTGAGGCTCTTTCCACATACATTACGAGACAGAGCACTTGAATGGTTGGATTCACTCCCGGTTGCAAGTATTACTACATGGAATGAGCCGGCACACAAGTTCTGCACAAAGTTCTTCTCCCCAGCCAAAATAGCAAAGCTGAGACATGATATATCAATATTCAATCAAGGAGAGACTGAATCATTTGATGAAGCCTGGAACAGATTCAAAAACATGCTCCGGAAATGCCCTCAGCATGGGTTCGATAAAAAGACCCAGATCCGATTCTTCTACACAGGATTACTTCCATACCATAAGAGCATGGTAGATTCAGCATCAGATGGCTCAATATCCACAAGAACAGTTGATGGGGCATTGGAATTATTTGAGCGAATGGCTACCACATCAGCCATGTGGTTTTCTGAGAGGGCAACTCCAAAGAAAACTCCAGGTGTCTACGAGGTGGACGCTTATTCAACAATCTCTGCAAAAATTGATTCTCTGTATCACAAGGTGGAGAGCATATCACAAGCATCACAAGCTAAGAAGAGCAATTGTGAGGAATGTGGAGCCGAACACAAAACATCAGATTGCCCTATACTCATGCAAGGAATTGAGCAAGCAGACTACGCACAGTGGGGACAACGCCAGCAGAATAATCAATATGGTGAGACTTTCAATCCCAGCTGGAAGAAACATCCCAACTTCTCGTGGAGCAACCAGAATCAGAATAAGCCACAGGGGCAGTTTCAACAACAGGAGAAGAGGCCTCAATTGGAAGATATGATAGGAAAGTTCATGGAAAAGGCCGAAGCTACACTTCAAAATCAAAATGCAGCCATCAAAAATCTGGAAACTCAGATAGGGCAGCTAGCCATCGCATTGACTGGCAGAACACCAGGTAACTTACCAAGTAATACAGAAATCAATCCTAAAGAGCAAGCAAAGGCCATTACAACTCGAAGTGGAGTTCAATTACCTGAAATTCATGTCAAGAGACCGGGAGTGATTGGAGAAACATCTTCCTCCGCTGAAGAGGAGACAGTTGTAAAGGAATCAAGTTCAAAGGAAAATTCACAAAAATCACAAGATAATGCCAAAGTCACAGTCAACCCCTACGAACCTACGATTCCCTTTCCACAGTGCTTGAAGAAGCAAAAAGTGGAGCAATAATACAAAAAATTTCTAGAAATCTTCAAAAAGCGCCATATCAACATCCCGCTAGCAGATGCACTATTCCAGATGCCTAGCTACGCGAAGTTTCTGAAGGATATCATATCAAATAAACGCAAGCTGGAAGATCATGAGACAGTCGTGCTTACTGAGGAATATAGTGCCAAAATTCAGAATAAGCTTCTACCAAAACTAAAAGATCCAGGGAGTTTTACTGTTCCTTGCACAATCGGTGAAGTATATTTTGATAAAGCATTATGTGACCTTGGTGCAAGTATTAATTTAATGCCTTTGTCTGTTTTCAGGAAACTAGGATTGGGAGAAGCTAAAGCAACCACTGTGACACTTCAGCTGGCTGACAGGTCACTGACACATCCCAGAGGAATAATTGAAGATGTACTATCAAGGTTGAGAAGTTCATATTTCCAGCAGACTTTCTTATCCTGGACATGGAAGAGGACAAGGACGTTCCCTTGATACTTGACAGACCATTTCTGGCAACAAGGAGAGCATTAATAGATGTTCAAAGAGGTCAGTTGATTTTAAGATTGGGAGAGGAGCAGATATCATTCAATGTATTCAAGGCAATGAAGTTACCAGCAGAATCTGACAGCTGTTATCAAGTTGACATTATTGACAAGGCAGTACAAGAAACATTTTTACTACACGGTCCATCTAATACCTATGAGGCATGTATTGCACAATCTCAATCAATCCAATCAGAGTCTGTTGAAGTTGAAACATGTGCAAGATTTTTGGAGACCAACCCGCCATACACACGAAAGAGGCACTTCGAGGAACTGGGGACGGAAAACACAAAGCCACTCCCTTCAGTTCAGCAGCCGCCAGTTTTAGAACTCAAACAACTGCCGCCACATCTCAGATATGCTTATTTAGGAGAATCAGATACACTTCCAGTAATCATTTCGAACACAGTCAGTGAAATGGAGGAGGAAAAACTGCTCAGGGTACTTAGAGAGAACAAAACGGCGATTGGTTGGACAATAGCTGACATTAAAGGAATCAGTCCTTCCATGGCATGCATAAAATTTTTATGGAGGAAAATTGCAAGCCTAGCATAGAAAGTCAGAGAAGATTGAACCCGAACATGAAAGAAGTAGTCAGGGCAGAGATACTAAAGTTATTGGATGCAGGAATTATTTACCCAATTTCAGATAGTACATGGATCAGCCCTGTTCAAGTGGTACCGAAAAAAGGGAGAATCACAGTGGTGAAAAATGAGAAGAATGAACTAATTCCCACCAGAACAGTTATGGGTTGGAGAGTTTGCATTGACTATCGCAAACTCAATGCAGCTACATGAAAGGATCACTTCCCACTCCCATTCATTGATCAGATGTTGGAGAGATTGGCTGGACATTCACACTACTGCTTTCTTGATGGATACTCGGGCTATAATCAGATACCTGTCGCACCAGAGGATCGGGAGAAGACCACTTTCACTTGTCCCTACGGTACTTTTGCTTATCGTAGGATGCCTTTTGGTCTTTGCAACGCTCCAGCCACATTTCAGAGGTGCATGATGGCAATATTCTCTGACATAATTGAAAGGTTTATCGAGGTTTTCATGGACGACTTCTCAGTATTTAGATCTTCATTTGATGAATGTCTAAACCACTTGAATTTGGTCTTACAGAGATGCAAGGAGACTAACTTAGTTTTAAATTGGGAAAATGCCACTTTATGGTGCAAGAAGGCATTGTACTTGGGCATAGGATATCGACAAAAGGAATTGAGGTAGACAAGGCAAAAATTCAAGTGATTGAGAAATTACCACCGCCTATATCAGTTAAAGGAGTTCGCAATTTTTTGGGGCACGCTCGGTTCTACCGGAGGTTTATAAAAGATTTCTCAAAAATCACTAAACCTTTATGCAACTTACAAATGAAAGATGCAACTTTTGAGTTCAATGAGGATTGTCTCACAGCTTTCAACACTTTAAAGGAAAAGCTTACGACAGCACCAATGATTGTAGCTCCAGACTGGGAATTACCTTTTTAATTGATGTGTGATGCAAGTGATCACGCTGTAGGTGCAGTATTGGACAGCGGAGGAACAAGATTTTTCATGTGATCTACTATGCAAGCAGAACTCTAAATGATGCACAACTAAATTATGCAACCACTGAAAAGGAGCTGTTGGCTGTGGTGTTTGCATTTGACAAATTCAGGTCATACCTCGTCGGATCTAAAATCATCGTCTATACTGATCATGCTGCATTGAAATATTTGCTCACAAAGAAAGATGCAAAGCCGAGATTAATTCTTTGGGTGCTGCTATTGCAAGAATTTGACATTGAGATATGCGATAAGAAGGGCACCGAGAACGTAGTAGCAGATCACCTATCCGGACTAGAATCTGGGGAGACGAAAGATTTAGTGGATATAAATGAGATCTTCCCGGATGAACAGATGTTGAGAGTGGATGAAGCACCTTGGTACGCAGATATTGTCAATTACTTGGCCAGTTCCATTCCACCACCTAACTGCTCCAGTCACCAAAGAAAAAAATTCTTTGTCGAGTTAAAATACTATTTCTGGGAGGATCCAATTCTCTATAGGCGAAGAGCTGATCAGATAGTTAGGAGGTGCGTACCTGAAGAAGAAGTACATGAGATTCTCGAGTACTGTCACTCATCCGCATATGCAGGACACTTTGGAGCTTCAAAAACAGCTGCAAAGATTCTACAATCAGGTTTTTACTGGCCTACATTGTTTAAAGATACATTTGAGTTTGTTAAGAGATGTGACAGATGTCAACGCATTGGGAATATCTCGAGGAGAAATGAAATGCCACTGAACAATATTTTGGAAGTGGAGATATTTGATGTTTGGGGAATTGACTTCATGGGACCTTTTTCCCCTTCGTTCTCAAACCAGTATATCTTGGTGGCAGTCGATTACATCTCAAAATGGGTGGAAGCAGTTGCATTGCCAACAAATGACTCAAAGACAGTAATTGATTTCTTGAAGAAATACATTTTCACCCGATATGGTACACCGCAGGCTATAATCAGCGATGGGGGCAAGCATTTCTGTAATCACCAGTTTGAGCAACTACTGAATAAATATTGCGTTAAACACCGCGTTGCTACTCCATATCATCCACAAACCAGCGGGCAAGTTGAGGTATCTAATCGGCAGCTGAAGAGAATACTAGAAATCACTGTGAATTCATCTAGAAAGGATTGGTCTAAAAAGCTGGACGATGCATTATGGGCTTACAGAACCGTATTCAAGACCCCGATCGGCATGTCTCCATACCGCCTAGTCTTTGGGAAAGCATGTCATCTGCCATTAGAAATGGAGCATTGGGCATATTGGGCTATGAAACAATTAAATATGGACTTGAATGCCGCCGGAGAAAAGCGTCTACTGCAACTGAATGAGTTAGATGAATTTAGAATGGAGGTTTATGAAAATGCAAAACTTTACAAGGAGCGAACCAAGAAGTGGCATGATATGCATATTCAAAGGCGAGTATTCGAAGTGGGGCAGCAAGTACTACTATATAATTCGAGACTCAAGTTATTCCCAGGAAAACTACGATCACGGTGGTCGGGTCCCTACACAGTTACAAAAGTTCTACCATATGGGGCTATACAAGTGAGCAATGAGAATAAGGGTACCTTTACTGTCAATGGGCAAAGGTTGAAACACTACTGGGGCGGTGACTTCTCTAAACAAAAGTCAACTGTTCAACTCGAGACGCCAAAATGAAGCGACCGCAGAAAAATCGAGCTATCGACTATAACTTAGTGTTGGGTGGGAGGCAACCCACTGTATCCTTTTTATCTGTTTATTTACTTTATTATGTTTTCTACATTAATTTAGAAAGTTTATTTT